TCCTAACCACAGTTTTAGGAAATGCCACAGTTTTACTAGCGTTGTGGACCAGAAAAAGGTAAAGACGGATATTTTATTATTTTATGACGTTCTCTATACAGTGGGTGAGTCTTAAATAAGTGCAAATTTTTTTAGGGGTAGTATATTTCGAACACAAAAACACGTATATAAAAAAAATTAGTTAAAAAACATATCTTCATAATATGACAACATAGGTAGTATATAAAATTAACAAAAAAGAAAACCAAGAAAAAATAATCCAGTAGTTTCTCAAAATTTAAGCGAAAAATCATTTTTTTAAACTTTTAGAAGTAAAATGTCTCAGTAACTTTCAACGTACTTGAAACGGTAAAGATAAAATATGTTTTTTTTTATGAAAATCAACCAACCCTGAAAATATTTGCACTTATCTAAGACTCACCCTGTACTATATCTATTTACTCAAAATTTAATTTGATTTATAGAATAAGAAATTTGCTTAATGCAGTGCAATTTATAATATTCCAAAATCTATTATACTTAAATACCTATTGAACTTTATGGATAAAAAATATGTTTAAAATATTATTTGTAATTCAAAAAGCAGGGCTATTATTTTTCATACATTTTATTTAAAAACAAGTGTTTTGAACTTCAAAACATTATTACTCGTTTTAAACATTTGTTTAATTGTTTTATTTTTTACATGCCGTATTTAAAAATAGAAAAATAGTTATTTTTTATACAAGACGATAAAATGGTACGAGTAAATTAATTTCGGGAGACGATAATGCAATTTTATCGTCGTTTATAAAAAAATATTTTTTTCCGTAACGAGTTACGTTTTAAAAAAATATTCATAAATTATTATTTCAAGGAATTTATTACGAGTAGAAAAAATATTCTGCTGGGTTGGGAATGGTTTCTATGTAATTTGGCAAATAAATAAAGCTGTCTCTTTAGTTGTTAGTTTTGAGTCAATATTTTTTAATTCTCTTTCGTGTCGATTGCTGATTGATTTGCAGCCAGAAATGGCTCAAAACGAAATAAGTAAATTACCAACAGATATTCAGGCTGAGGCGACAAACGCCATATCCAAACTACTGCCATTTAAATCCCGAATAACTTATGAAAAGGAATACAAAAATTTTCAAAAATGGAAGCAATTAAAAAACGTGCGAGAAGAAATAAAGTTTTTAACCTATCCTCGCTGTTAAAGTATCATTTAATCTACCCTTGCGGTTAAAGTACTATCTACTATTTTTGATAGATATAAGGCAATTTTAACAGTTGTTATTGAAAAAAGAACATTTTTTTCCAACCTTTCAAAAAGTACAAAATATATAGAAAATCTATTCAAAATAAGTGAAAATATTTATATCATACTACATATTAATATCTATACTAATATATAAAATCCTTAAGTGACTGACATACTGATTAATCACGATCCTGCTCAAACCACTCAACGTAAGAAGCTCAATTTTGGCATACAGGCTGATTCTAGGGTGTAGAGGTTCGTTAAGAAGGGATTTTTCGAAATTCCAGTTCAAGAAGGTGAAACCACCCCTCAAATATTACAATATTTTTTACTTAAAAACGGTTAAGGATTTCCGAAAAAACGCTAAACACGTATATTTTATTTTTGTTTTTTACATATTTTAAGATTTTTTAAAATGTATACTGGGTGTTTCGAAAAATCTGGTCATTGATTAATCACGATCCTGCCTAAAGCGCTTGACGTAAAAAGCTGATTTTTGGAAAACAGATTGACTTTAGGGTGTAGAGGTTCGATAAGAAGGGATTTTTCGAAACTCGAATTCTAAGGGGGTGAAACTATCCCTCAAATATTAAAATATTTTTTATATTAAAACCGGTGAGTTTTTCGGAAAAACTCTTAAACACGTATATTTTATTTTATTGTTTTACATATTTTAAGATTTTTTATAAATTTATACAGGGTGTTTCATAATATATGACCATTGAGTAGTCACGATTCTACTTAAACTGCTTGACGTTTAAAGCTGATTTTTGGCAACCGGATTCACTGTGGGGTGTAGAGGTTCGATAAGGAGGGGTTTCTCGAATCTCAAATCCCAAGAGGGTGAAAACGCCCCTCAAATATTACAATATTTGTTATTTAAAAAACGGTTAGTCTTTCGGGGAAACGCTTGGACAAGCATAATTTATTTTGTTTTTTTTTACATATTTTGAAATTTTTTAAAAAATCATACAGGGTGTTCCAAAAAGTTGGGTAATTTCTTAACCACAATTCTGACGTAACTAACCACAATTCTAACCACTGCTTGACGTAAAAAGCTTATTTTTGGCAAACGAATTTTCCGAAAGTCAAATTCCAACGAGATGAAAGTACCTCTCAGATATTACCAAGTTATATAATAATATCGCCATATTGTTTTTTCTCATGCTGACATAAATGTGAGAAAATTTTATCCAGTTTGTACGTTAATGGAAATTCTTGCTTTGCTTTATCACCACCATTACAAATGATTAATTCGACGCGAACGAAGTCGCTGGTATACGCTAGTTATATAATATAATTATAAATATAAATATCATTAACCGAAAGTATTGAAATTTGTTTCTAAGTTAGATCCAAGAATTCTTTAAAAAAATGGGATGTGTGAAGAATTTTGTATATTATTAAAAATGAAGAGAATACAACAAATTTTATTTTGATTAACGAATTCAATTATGCTTTATTCTGTCACAATACATAAGCAGGTGCCCTTTAGCTGTCTACCAATTAATTTAACAAGTTCATTAGTAATAATTTACGAGCAATTTTGAGCTAAAATGCAAGCATTAATTCTATCGTTACATCTAGACAAGAGCTAACACAACTGAGTGTATTAGATCAATAAATGCTTAGCTTTTCAATAATTGATGTTATCTTAGAAACAATGTAGTAACGAGATATAATCGTAATATTTTTTAGTCTAAAAGACAGTCTTTAAGGAGTAAAATACGCAGCGATGGGGGTAAAAATTCAAGGCAGTGAAAAAAAAGTTGGTTAGGTTAGGTTAGGTCGTTTACCGCATATAGGGCTTTCTCCAGTAAGTATGATTTCAGAGCTTTGCGAAATGCGGAAAAGAATGGAAGCGACTTGATATCCAAAGGCAGATGATTGTACATTTTTTTGGCATTGTACAGGGTGGGTCAAATTCGACGCTTTTAAATGAAAACACCCTTTTCTATAGGAGATAGACGAAAACAAATATCGGTGTCTGTAGCTCAAAAACTTTTTTGCTATGGAAAATTTCTATGAAAACATTTCCAAAGCACATTTTTACGTAAAATTTAATGGTTTAAGTATAATTTTTTTAAAATCAATAATTTAAGAGTTATCAACATAAAAATTGATTTTTTATTTTTTTTACCCTCTATATTTTTAATTAACTGAAAAGAATTTAAAATTACCTTTCCAAAAATATAGCACACTTGATATTTTGTCATAATCCCCTTCGAAATACAGAATTTTTAAAAGTTCGCCACTTTTAACTAGTAGGCTTTGGGCCCCTTATTGATAATAAGCC